TTTGTTTTCATTCTTTCATAGGGTCTTATAAATCATGTTTGAAGTGTGGCCAAGGGCCAAACGGTCATTTGACCCCGTTTTGTATTTTTGGATTCCGAGTTTTCATTTGAAGTTCCATTTTTACCTTTTTGCCCGTTGGGGGGTCGGATTTTGTATCGGTGGTATTTTTAAGTCATGGACCATTGTAACACGTCCAAATAGGTAAGTTACGTATGCGTGCATGGTCGTTTCCTGGCAAAACCTTATCGTTTGTGTTTTGAGCCTCTTGTGAATTCATTTCGCACTTTTTTTGCATATTCTGATCTAGGTGCATTATAGACTTTTCACAGTGGTTTTATTTTCTTCTTTTAATATGGTTGAATAGAAAACATGATTTTAGGGGGGGTTTCTTTTTCGTGTTTTTCCAGAAAAAGCCATCTTGGCATCGGAAATCGCATCTGAAGTTCAGCTCTCAGTTTTTAAATTTAGCAGCTTTTTGGACCCTCTATACCAGTTTTCTTGGGAGGGCATTTTGGGCATTTCACAGTGAGTTTTTTGTCGATTTTTCCTACAAGTCACGTAGAAAACTCAATTTTGAGGGTGGTTTCTTCTTTATATTTTTGCAAGAAAGTTCATCTAAGTCTCCAAATTCAGCCTCTATTCTGGATTTTTCTGAAAAATTACCCCACAGCAGCTTTATGGCTGCTGCTGCCAGCCATGGTGCACCCAGCGCGCGCGCGACGTGCATGGGCTCACGCATGGGCGTGCGTATGGGGCTGTCATAGCCCCTCGTCCGGCCGCCGCGACGTCAATTCTTCTTTTGGGCTTTTCTCCTTCGTCCGGACTCCGATTCAAGTGAATTTTTTTTTGAACTTGACTAATTTTTTGCTGTCTTTCTAATGGTGTGCTCGGTTCCACCTGGTTCTTCCTAGATAATTACCAGTTTACCCAATTTGCCTTAAGTGCTCGTTTTTCTTCGTCATGCCGTTTCTCCTTCGTCCGGACTCCGAATCATGCGATTCTTGAGTCCATCGTGGTTAGTTTTTTGTTGTCCTTCTAGCGGTGTGCTCGGTAGCACCCGAATCTACAGTTTTTAGAAATGACTATTTTGCCCCTAGGGGCTTATTTGTCATATTTTCGATCTTTTGCTTCCGCATTAGTTCTTATTGAGTTCCACAACCTCATGGAAGGTCACTTTGACTTCTTAGAGTCTTGTTTTCTGTTTTCGCTTCCGCATTTGGATCCGTTATCGGGTCATCCTTTCGGTTCATCACAGGACACGCTGGCCTAAAAACCAGGGTCGCCATAAAAAACCTCCTTGAACTTCTATTTTTACATTTAACCCCCTGAACTATCCAAATTGTTGAAAAAATTACCCACATGCAAGGCTCTGTTTGGTTCCTCAGGCTAAATAAGCATGTGAAGATCACATGCCCAGGTTGTAATTTTAAAATGCCGAAGCTACCCTTGCCTTATTATCCTAACTGTTAAATTTATAAAACAAAAATTAGAAATTGATGATACTTTCCAAAACAAAATTTCCCAAATTGAAACCTAATTTACCTAAATCAAGATTACCAAATTGAACCCCAAATCAGTGGAATACATCCATCTCCCTCTCGTTTCATTAAAATTCATAAATCCAGATTTATTTGTTCATCTTTTTAAGCACAACCTCGATCAAGTTCTGGTCAGTAACCACCATGTAAATCAGCCAGCGGTTGGACTTTCAGGTGTCGTTGGTGCAAAGGAAATATAGGGGATTTGATCATTTTCTTCACCGTAACGGGCTGGTTAGGTAAGGTGGAGAGATGGAGGTTGTTGGTTTCGAGGATCACTCAACGTTGCTTGACGTCGAAGAGGGTTTTAACGGGAGAGGATCTGATGGTGTTCAGTAAGACACACAGTCAATCAGTGCATTGAAGGTGCAATTGGAAGTGCATACTGAGAAGCCTGGACCATCGATGACAATGTGATAGCGATGGGAGAGATTAAGGTTAGAGAAAGAAAAGTTCCAGCAAAACCCATAGACAAGGGGTTGGGGGCAACCGTGAACTGTGGTGGTGGTTGGGGGAAGAAGAATCTGTAAGAGAGAGGGTTGGTGGTAGCCTTGGATGAGGGGATGGGATCGGGGGCGGTCGTTAATAAATGCTCAAATGTGACACATTTTAGCACCTAAGCTAGGGTATTTTAGTCCATTCATCTATCTTACTTTTATATCTTAGTACTTATTTGTGTTTTTGCCTATTTCAGGTCAATAAAGTTTAAACAGGCTAATAAGAGCCATTTTGCTCAATTTTAGAGCTAAGAAGCAAAGTTGGAAAGAAGTCAAGAAAATTGCACCAGAGGAACTTCGATCGATCGAAGGAAGTCCCGATCGATCGAAGATGGCTACAATCGATCAAAATGAGGCAGCGCCAGCTCAGTAAAGTGGATAAGGCCTAGAAGATATTTTTGATGACACGTCAGCTTCAATCGATCGAAGCTAAGTCTTTGATCGATCGAAAATCTTTAATCGATCGAACTGACTGCTGGTAGTGAGCTGTTTAATTCCGAGCACGCCGGACTCTACCTAACTTATGTAGCTGCGAATTTCCTCCAATCATAGGTTGTATTTCTGACTTGGTGCCTACTCAAAAAGGCTTGTAATAGATTAATTGAACCATACTGTAAAAATATATCATCTAGTTTTTCTTACCAATTATAGAAATAATTTCTCTCTCTAGAACTAGGGTTTTAGGGAAGAAAGCAAGGATGAAGATGATGATGCCAACCTCCAAGCTAGCCCTAAAGGGTTCCATGACCATTATAATGAGTGACTAAATCTTTTTCTTAGGGCTAGAGATAGCCCCTAGGCTTGCTTCTTAAACCTAGTTTTGGTACATTTTTTGGGGATTTTAGTTGTAATTGATGTTTTAACCACAAATAAATATAAATCTTATGATTTTTACATGATTTTTATGGATTAATGCTCTATGTATGCTTGAATGAACGTTCATGTGTTTTTCTCTAGATTTAATGAAATTGAAGCATGTTTGCATGTGTTGATGTTGTTAATCTAGTGATGGTCAAAGCATAGTACTTAATTGATTACTCTTGTGATTTATTTAATGGTTCATACTTATTTCTTGATGAATTATTCCATATCCTTAGTTTAATTAGCTTAATTTTCATGTCATTAGCTTAGTTGAAGCATAATTGTTTTAATTTCTTAGGTAGGTGGATAATCCATTCTTGGTTTTTGATGTTCTACACTTATGAATGCAATGAGTACCTTTCTCTAAATATTTGTGTGTGCACTAATTGTGGTTTAATTGAATGGTTAATAGTCTCATTTGATAGTTTATGTTACTCACTAGATTGATTAGACAATCTATGCTTATTTGCCATCCATGCTTAGTTTTAAAATTGGTGACACACACTCACAAGTTACAACTTAAATTTCCTTATTAATTTACAATTGCTAGTGTTTGGTGAAGTGAAGCTTAGTGGTGAACTCTAATCCTTAAGACCTTTCTTTCATATATCTTTCTCTAATTCTAGATTGTCATTTAATTTCATTGCTTTAAGTGAAACATTCGTTAATTAATCAATCAAACCCTCTTTTGATTATTCGACCTACTAATCCAACATTGATTCCAAGAATAGCGTTCCTTTCCCTTAGGATGATCCCTACTTACTTTAGCTACATTAATAATTTGTAGTGGTAATGGCATTCTATAAATTCAAACTTATCCACATTTCATCACACATCTTTGAGCATTGGTCCGACGACACACCAAGTTTTGGCACTGTTGCCAGGGATTGGCAGCGCCATATTTTGGAATAAATTAGGAATTAGTACTCTTTTGATCTTGTCTTTATTATATTTTATTTTTGGTTACTTATTATATTTGTTCTTGATTGGCTAGGTACATTGAGCGAAGGGAAGTGAAGCAAAATGATTCTAAAGCAAAAATAGCAAGCTAAGTTAAGCAAAGCAAAAAGCATAAAAAGAAAAAATAAATAAAAATTTGTAAAGCAAATCAAGGAAAAAATTTAAAATAAATTGAATTTGCTTAAGGACCCTCTGTGAGCTTTTTTAACTTTCTCTTTTAGTTAAATCGTCAGCCCGCGTGGTGGCAAGTTTTATTTTCTTAGATAGATCGTCGGCCCGCATGGAGGCAATTTTTATTTTTCTTGCATATTGTTGAAAGCATGGGAGCATGGGATCAATGTATATGGAGGTTTGTTGATTGACTTGTTGCGGAGGAGAAGTGCTTATTACTTGCTTGTTGTTGAGTTATTGTTTGTTTTAATTGTGCATGCATGGTCATAGGTCATTGAATCCTACTCTTGTCCCACTTAATTTGAATCTTGAATCCATTGTTCGTAATCCTAGGGGAAGGGGTAATTCTAGTGACTTTATTTCATCAATGGAGGAACATAATGAGGACCATGTGGAGGACCTTGGTCACGTCAACCAGCAAGGCATTCTTCACCCTAATGTGCATCAACATCATGATAACATTCAAGTACCATTAGGCATACCTAGACCCTTCATTCCACAACAACAAGGCCAAGTTCCAATGGGAATGCCTCGGCCATTTTTTGTACCACCTCCACGTCTCGTTGTTCAAGTAAATCATGGTGCTCGTGTCGAGACACCAATTCTGAATCCTCCCCTTGCTTTGAGAGATCATTATGTGCCAAATGCGTATAATGCACCAATATGCATTAAATTACCTCTATTTAGAGCACACCATTACGAGATTAAACCACAAACAATTCAAATGCTTCCTAATTATCATGGGCTACCAAGTGAAGAACCTTACAAGCATTTAGATGAGTTTCTTGAAGTGTGTACCACCGTGAAATACACGGACATGCCAGAAGAGGTTTTGAGGCTAAAACTCTTCCCTTTAATTCTTAAAGATAAAGCAAAATACTGGTTTAACAACTTGAGGCCTTTTTCGATAACTTCTTGGGCAGAGATGCAACAAGAGTTCTTGAAAAAGTACTATCCGATATCAAAGACCAATACAATGAGAATTTCAATTCGTTAATTTTCACTGGGGGAAGGAGAAATGTTTCATAAGGCATAGGAACGATTGAACGATTTGCTTAGGCAATGTCCACACCATGATATTCCTAAATGGCAATTGGTTCAATTATTTTTTAAAAGTTTGTCGGACAATTATAAAAGAATGGGTGATGCTTCTATAGGTGGTTCTTATCTTGATAAGCATGAAGATGATGTATGGCGCTTATATGAGAGCATGAGTGAGAATTCAATACATCGATTTTTATCATCTAAAAATGGTAGAAATGTAGGTGGAAGGAAGAATGTCAGCCTATATCAAGTTGACCATTCTAATGATATAGCCGCCGAAGTGAAGTCTTTATCCCAAAGGTTTGATCAACCAAAGTTTAGCGAATCAAGTGTCGTCCTCCCCTAATCATACTCATCATCCTTCTAATGAATTTTGCATGACTTGTTCTAGTGTTTTACATTCTACTTCCAATTATCCCTATGGACATGTGCAAAGTGAACACCATGAACAAGTGAATGCCACTTTTGTTAACTAAGGGAATAATCCCTATGGCACTCACTATAATGCTGGGCGGAGGAACCATCCAAACTTCTCTTGGAAAAGCCAAAGGGGAAGGCTCAAACACTCCCCAAAGTGGTTTCCAAAACAAGTATGTTCCACCCCGAATGCAAACCTAAGGTTCCCAAGGTTATCATTCATCTTACCAAGTATCATATGGTAACCAATTTTCAAACTCTCATTTTCTAAATCAATCTTTATATTCTCAAGGAAATTCAAGAAGTCCCACATTTGAAGAAAAAGTCTTAACCACTTTTGGTGCTTTGGAGGCAAATACCCAATTGCTTCATTCTCATTCCCAATCGATTGCAAAGCTAGAAACCCAAGTTGGGCAAATAGCTAGTACATTGAATGCTAGGGAAAACAGGAAAATGCCTTTGAATCCATCACTAAAGCAATAATTTGTAGTGGAGACCAATTCCTCTTCGGAAGGTCATAAATTTAAACATGTGAATGCGGTGACCACTTTGAGAAGTGAAATTTTTTTTGATAATCAAGTTGGTGTTCCAAATTAAGAGAGTGAACCATGCAACCCAGAGTTGACACTCGTCCTGTCTCACATCCTATTCGTCCTCTATTACATGTGAAAGAATCCATTGTTGAAAATATTTCTAAAATGATTTTGAAAAACATTTTGAGCCCAAGGCTCCATTTTTGGATGCTTTAAAAGCATCCACCTCTCTTAAAAAGCAACAAAACAAGGCTAATGAAATTATCGATGTGTTTAGGCATGTTAAAATCAATCTTCCTTTCTTGAATGCGATTCGACAAATTCTGGCTTATGCCAAAATTTTGAAAGATCTTTACACTCTTAAGAGGTAGAACAAAAGCTAAGCATCGAAAAAAGTTGTATTGACTGAGCAAGTAAGTTCCATTTTGTAATACAACACCCTCCCAAAATTCAAAGACCCCGGTTTATGATAAGCTCTGAAAAGTGCACATTTAAACCCCTTAAGCTTGAACGTTCTAGTACCTTATTCTATCTTATTTTCCCGTTTTAGTCTAATTTCATGTTATTCCTTTTTCAGGCACTTATCCCCAAAATAAGTTAATCCAGCTGAATTAGAGCATAAAAGACGCAATCTCAAGCTCAATGGAACAAAGAAGCAAAGTGAAAGCAAGTTGGTGAAAGGAAGCACTCTTCGATCAATCGAACAAAGCCCAGATCGATCATACAGTGATCGTTCCAACAATGCCAAGATGGATCGAACCTTTTATCTTTATCCTCAGCAAAATACCTTCTTCGATCGATCCAACATTTCTTCAATCGATCAAACATCTTTTATCTTATCCTCACCTACCACTTTTATCCTCTTCTAAAAAATATCTTAGCCTTGTCTTTATTCCAAAAAGGCACCGCCAAGGTTCGATCGATTGAACCAACCTTTAGATCGATCAAATTGCCTCGAGTTGCGTGAAAAGTTAATTTCAAGCCAAATAAAATGTGTGCTCGTGGTGCAATCGTTGGGAGGTCTTAGTGCACGAGGTCTAACCATTGGGTGTGACATTTGAGCTACCTATATAAGGATTTTGGCTATTTTGAGTGAGGAGGTTGGAGAGATTAGAGAGACTTTGCTAGAGATTAGAGAGAGAATATATAAATTGGGAAAGTTCTTCCTCTCTTCTAGGGTTTCCACCAAGGAAGAAAAAGATCATTTCTAGTATGGAGATTGCCCTTGAGGGTTGGATGACAACATCAATGCGTGGCTAAACATCTTCTTGGGGATAGAGTTAGCCCTAAACATGCCTCCTAGACTTTGATGTTTTGTAACTAATGGGGATTAGTGTTGTAATCATTGTCTTGACCTTTGATATATATATAAATCTCGTTTCTACCATGGTTTGTGTAGTTTAATACTTCCAATTGATCATTTAACTCTATTCATATGTCCATGTATGCTAGAATGGATGTTTATAAGTTTATCTTTAGATTGTTACATTGATGCAAGTCTATGTATGTTGATATTATGAATCTAGTGATGGTCAAGGCATGGTGCTTAAATGGAATACTCTTGAGGTTTATTTGATGGTTCATACTTATTTCTTGATGGATTGTGCCACAACCTTAGTTTAATTAGTTTAATTTTCATGTTACTAGCTTAGTTGTAGCGTAGTTACCTTATTTTCGTAGTTAGGTGGACAATCCATGCTTGTTTGATGTTCCATACTTATGAATGCAAGTAGTATATTTCTCTAATTTGATGATGTGCATTGATTATGGACTTAAAAAAAGGAATAATGGCTTAATTTGATATGTTATGCTATTCACTAGTTTGGCTAGACAATGTATTCTTATTTAGTCTCCTATGCTTGTTAATTCAATCAATGACACACTTGTATTGCAACATATAATCCTCCCCTCAATAATTACACAGTAAGTGTCGAGGAAGGTGATGTTTAGTGGTGACCTCTAAGTCCCAAGATCCTTCTCATATATTCTTTGCATTCCATTCTATTTCAATTGCTTTACTTTGCATTTATTTACTTTATATTGTAGTTTAATTAACCAACAAAAAACATCTTTGATCACTTGATCTACTAATCTGACATTGATCTCCAAGCACAAATACACCTCCTTTCCTTTGGGACGATCCCTACTCACCCTAGCTATATTAGTACTTAGAGGTAGTAGTGCCACTCTATAAATTTAAACTTGGCCACACTACGGACTTTTGCATGCTTTGGTTTGAGACACACCAGTTCACCAACCACTTCTTGCACTATTGGTGATCATGTTATCAGTCGGGCTCTTCTTGATTTAGGAGCGAGTGTGAATCTTCTCCCTTATTTGGTTTATGTTCAATTGGGCCTAGGTGATTTGAAACCGACGTCGGTAGTTTTGTAACTAGCCGACCGATCAATTAAGAAGCCCCGTGGTATCACTAAGGTTGTATTGATTAAAATTGACAAGTTCCTCTTCCAGGTTGATTTGGTTATCATTAATACGGAACTGGTCCCAAATCCTAAGAGCCAAATTCCCGTTATCCTTGGCCGTCCTTTCTTGGCTCCCGCTAATGCCAACATTAATTGTAGGACGGGGACAATGAAGATTTCATTTGGTCACATGAAAGTGAAGTTGAACATTTTTAATCCAACCCTCAATTCTATGGATAAGCATGAAGATGTATGTATTGTTGAAAAATGTCTTGAAATTGAATTTGAAAAAAATGAGTCTTTGCTTGATGTTGAAACTTCAAATGGTTTATCTTCCAAAACGATTTCAAAAGATGTTGTTTTCAAATCAAGTGTTGAAAGGGCATGGAATCCCAAAAGTTTTATTGATAAAGGGGGATCTGGTGCAACCAAGCATGTGCATAAAATAATGCACAACACTTTAGGTTTTGAAATAATGTCAAGTGGCCACCATATTTTATAATTTATATACCATTAAACACTTATACTATGGAGTATGAAGTGAGCAGGGATCGTTTCAAGAGATTTAAACAATTATAGGTTTTTAGAATTGAATTATACATTAGTGCTTATGTGAAATGACCCGATCATTTTCTTCATTTTCCTTTTTCCTCAAATTTTGCTGGTAAATTTTTTCCGTTGTCTTTTCTTTTCTTTGGATGGTTTTTCGTCACTTAGTGTTGTCTTGAGTGCTCAGAAATGGTTTCTGAGACTCTTTTCTGTGGATTGACAACTTCCTTTGAGGACCGAGTCATTTCCACAATTTTCATTTTTCGACACTATTCACTTTTTATCCTCATTCCTATTTCGTCCTTTTCTCTGTTTTGTCATTTTTCCTATTCTATTTTTTCCCCGTTTGTCACCTTGTTGGCGTAACCTCACTCCTTGTGGTCAGAGTTGGTTTTTGACTTCACGTGTCTTCATTCTAAGTGGTTTCCACGAAATACGTATCTTTACTTTTGCAAGAAAGTACTCTGGTTGCTCCTGTTGTCTATAGTAGCGTGGATGCAAAGTTCTTTGGAATTATTTTCTTTTCTTGGGGTGTTTTTTGTAAATATATTTTGAAGATATTTTATTTCAGGGGTTTTTAAGAAAATATTTTTGGAAGATATTTTCATTCTGGGGCATTAGTGCAATTAACTCTTTTTGGAGGGGCCATTTTGCAATTAATGAAAGTTATTGTAAGATACTTCATCTGGAGCTTGGATCCTCGTACGGGATTCATTTTCACTTTTCATCAACTTGTAAATTCTTGGAATTTCCTTCTGGTCGTTTTTCTTCAGTTTTAGGGTTTCTGGCACCTATTGCCGCCGAACTTTTTCGGGGCATATCTCTCTGCTCGGAACTTGATTTTTGACGCCGTTTCTTCTGTTATTCATATTTTCTCATTTTAAATCTTTTTTGTTCATGGAGTTTTTCCATTTGAGCGCGTTTACTCAAATTTCACTTTTTCGGACCCGGTAGGGTTCGTTCGGGGCACTTTTTGAGATTTCTTTAAAGGGGGGGGGGGAATATTTCATTTTTCATCTTCCCCACTCACCTTGCACGACCAGAGCTCCCATGGCAGCCCAAGGGAGGCTGCCACCACCTCTCTTCTCTTTTGAACTTCATTCCTTTGTTAAAA